TTTTAAACATATAATACAATTAAACTGTTCTACAATTAAACTAAACTGCAAAAATTGATATTATTAAATTTTTTTTTATAAATATATATTTATTCAAATACATAGTCTCCTGAAAATTGAATCCATTTGACTTACCAGGTATTACGTCTTGGCCGACAATATTATTATTAAGTGTATTGTATTATTATGTGCATAAGTCTTTTATATCATAATATAATTTATTTATTTTAATAATGAGTTGTTATACAAACATGTTATAAATGCAATCTATTTACTACACAGCTGTTTTTTTCAAGTGCTGAACTAGATGTTTACTTTATATCCTTTTAGGTTTTGATTTAAAGATCATATTATAATCAATTTTCGAATAATTGCAATGAACAAGATTTTTATATTGTTATACTTTTTGTTATATATATATATATATATATATATATATATATATATATATATATATATATATATATATATATATATATATATATATATATTTGTAACTATTCTAACTTTAAATTTCAGCTTTCCTACTGTTGAAATATGGTTTGAATTTAGTAAATTTTTATGATTTAAAGTTTACTTTATTGATCATAAGATAAAAGTTTAGAAAAAGAAATTTAACACATTTAGGTCAAAAAATTAGTTTACTTTTAACATTACAAAATTCGGTTTCACCGTTCATTCTCATGCTATTCCTAGTTTATGTTATATGTCGTATGTTAATAATGATAATATTTATTATATACATGAGAACATTTTTGCGTTAAACAATTGTGTTGGATTTATGAAATAAGTGTATCATATATTGATTGATTCTTGATATAATGGTCCATTACTGCTAATAAAGAATGGTTTCTGTATTATTTTGCATACAAAATATTATTATGGATACAAAATTTATATGTTTATAAGAATTATAATCTTAATCTGATGTTTTAACTTCATTATATCAATAGGCTCGTAGCAACCGGGGGGAAAGACAACTAAAAAAACAGAAAATAAGTCCACCCTTGGTGACCTACTTAATAGAGGATTAGAAGTTTAAGAAATGAGCCAAACTTTGGGATTGTCTTATTGCTGTATTTTGAAAAACGCTTGCAAAATCCTTGTAAAGATGCTTCTGAACTTATTAAAAAGAAAAGTAAAATGTGCTCTGACAAATTTGCTGTAAGAAACGCAAATCAGCACTATAATCAATAGAGATAACTCACTAAAACAAACTAGAAACTGTGATAATCTGGCTTAATCAAGATTGCATATGTCTCAGATGTTTTTATACATTTTAAAATAACAAGAAAATTTTTATCACTGGTTCCACAAAAAAGGATCAATAAAAGAACTCTTTATTTAAGACAGTTATGCAAGAGAGATTCAGTATATATTGACAACAAAATTAGATTTTTTTTAAGAAACAGGATTTGAAAACAGGAGATGAAGCATAAGTAGATAAAGTATGGCCTCCGCACTTTATCTGCTAATGAATATGCTCTAATAAATAAGAAAGCATACATACCATTTCCAGCTTACAGAGGAAACTTACATATCAAAAGGTCTATCAAACAAAGGTTAATGATTGGGTAGTTGTTAACTTATGGTCTCAAAGTTAGAAGAGTGACTTATTTGTTTTAAAAAAATTAGTTTCTGGTAAGTATACTGCTATGGCAACAGGAATCTATTATTTGTCTACTAATGTTATTTTTAAAGACAGCAGTCAACTAATTTATATTATGATAGCAGTCAATAATCAGTTATCGAAGTGAACTGCTTTATATGGAACAAAAGGAAAACCATCAGTTGTTCAAGACAGTCTTAGTGTGTCTGGAGCCTTATTTATGTAAAAAGGTATAGTTATTTATTTATAAAAAAATTAATTATTTATTCATTGCTTGTTTTGTTTTTTTCATTTATAATAATAGCTTTTAAATTTATCTTAAATGCATTATTGAGCAATAATTATTAATAAATCTGATTATGTGACATTAATTAGTTGTTACTGTCTGATGCTAGTGAGTTAATAGTAACATCAGTTGCCTGATGTCGATTAGATTAATACTGATATTTTCTTTAGATTCTTATGTTAGTGTTTATGTTATTATTGAAAATGATAATAGCTGGTCCATAGATATTGATTCAAATTTTTCAGACAAATTTTTTTGGTGTAACAACAGTTCTTACAAATAGTTTAGCTTAAACTGCACCTGGTTGGTTTAAAATTGGATAATGGAAATCTCAACTGAAGCAGGTTCATTTTTTGATTTTGGGGGAGGATTTAATCCAGACACTGGAGAGTAAGTGGCTAAAAATGTACATTTTTTTTTTTACTTTTGTTTTCAGATTAATAATATCTTTGATTCTTTTTTTTTTCAGTTTTGTTGCTCCTAAAACAGGTTTTTATATTGTGAGTGCTGGAATAAAAATAATTCTGGCAAGTGCAATTGATTCAAGCTTTATTTTAAATTTTGCTGTTATTGGAAATCCATCTACTTTACAATACCGAAATGGAATACAAGACTATGTTCAAAATGGTATTGTTGCACCTACTACAAAGTAATACTTTTCTTGTGTTTATGTTTTATTCATTGTTAAAATATTTTGAAAAAGTTAAAATTATAAATTTTTTATGTAATTACTACTAGTTACTAAAAATTTTATTATATCAGTTTTTAGTAAATAATGTCTTTCTATTTAGTTTTTAGTAAGTTATAATGTCTTTTATACTAGTTTTTAGTAAATTATATTGTTTTATTATTTAGTTTGTGTACTATACTTACTTTTTTGGTCTTTTAAATAGTGATTTTTATTCCTTGATTGTGTCTGGTTTGGTATTAGTTAATGCAGGTGACAGCATTGCACTTTATATTCAACCTGTTGCTGATCCATCTTATACAATAAGTCAAGACAGCTTTATGTCAATCGTTTTTATTAGCTCTACCAATAATTTGTATTCATCTGGAATGCAGTTAATGCTAGATCTAACACTTGATCAACAGCAGAGCGCTTCTGATTGGTCTAAAGTTAAATATTGACAGAGCAACCGGGTGAGTGGTGTTTTCAGCTGTAGTAAGTTTTCTTTTTCTTTTTTAAACTTTTTTAAATGAAAAAGTTAAAAAAATAAAATTAATTTTAAAAATTAGAAAAAGAAAGAAAGTTAATGTTTTGTGTTTAGTAAATAAAAACTAAATATTTTGTGCTTAGGAAATCTTCTAAAACTAGATTCAGTCATGGGTACAGTAACAGTTCAAAAGACAGGAATTTATTATATTTTTGTAAATCTTGCTATTGCTTTTGACTTGAATAATTATCTAAAACAATTATTAATTATATTAAATTTATTAACTAAAACAATTTGTATTATAACAATAACAATAAACTTTACAATAACAATTTACAAGGTTAAACAGGAATGGTGTGGATCAACCACTATTGTTGACCACGCCAGTGATTTCGTTTTTTGATAACTTGACCAAGATTGTTTATATGTTTTGATGATTTAAAATTTCAGAAATTCACTGATTGTAGAAACGCTAAGCTAAACTTAAACTAGGAAAAAACTTAAACAAAAAAACTAACTCAAAAAAATTTCTGAACGAAAAAAGAAACGAAAAAAAATCATTACGAAAGAAAAATATTATATTATATATTATATAATATAATTCTTATCATATATATTATATAAGCACTAAAATAAAAATAGAAAAATAAAAACTTGAACTTGAAGCGAAACTTTTTGTTACGTTTTTAATTGCGTTTGAAATAAATGTTATTACACAAAACACTTTTAAATTACATAACAAATTACTACTTATGATTGTTTAATAAATGAATAAACTTTATCAAATTTATTAAAAAGTGTCGTATATAATACATGCCTTCATAAAAAAATTTAATAGTTAAACATCAAATGTGGTCAAGTTGTAAAGGAAAAATATATAAGCGCGATCAGTTACAGAATGCGCACACCTTTCCTGTCCGAGCCTGATTTACAAATAATTATAAGATTGAAAAAAAAATAATAATAAAAAGGAAAACTGGACTAGTTCTCTCTGTTTATAATCTTCAGTTTTGTTGCCTTAATTTAGCAATTGTTTGGAAATGATAAAATAAAGGTAATGATAGTTGTTTTTAATAAATATAGTAAATATATCTTTAATTATTTAGATAAAAATAAAGTTAATGATATTAAGTAACGATAAAATTAAGATAAACAAATAATGAAGTTTGACAAATGTTTTGAATGGCTTCATAAAATAAAATTGTTTGAATAACTTCATGAAATGAAGTTGTTTTAAATGTCTTCATGAAATAAAATTGTTTTAAATGTCTTCATGAAATGAAGTTGCTTCAAATGTCTTCATGAAATGGAGTTGTTTTCAATGTCTTCATGAAATAAAGTTGTTTCGAATGTCTTCATGAAATGAAGTTGTTTTAAATAAAAAAGAAAAAAATAACTAAGTTATATTATCTTTATTTTTTATTTATTTAAGTATTTATTTATTTTTTATTTGTTTAAATATTTGTTTATTTAATATATTTTATTATTATATCTTATTTCATTTATTTATTTATTTAAAAAAATTTCTTTAAAAAACTTTAAAAAGTTCTTATAATGGTAATAAATGATTAAATTTAAAATTTCAATAGATGTTTACACAACATTAAGGTCTGTCACATCATTAATAACAAGATTTAGTGATACAGATAATCCTCAATACACAATGAAAACTTGTATAAAGTACAAATCTTCATTGCGTATTGAAGATTATCTTTATCTCTAAATCTTACTGTACAAAGACCAGGAGCTATTGATTAGGGTATTTCTAAATTCTTTTTAATTATTTCTGGTTTATTCATTCATTTTATTTATTTTTTAATAAAATTAACAACTTGACATTGTTTTTTTTTTAATATTTAAATAATAAATTTTTTATAACTTCTGTTTATTCACTTTTTAAATATATTTAAAATGTTTTGAATTTTTCTTTACGTATTACCTAATTCTTATATTTTGAACTCAAGGTTAAATCATCACCTTATTGCTAAATCCGTCAGTTGGTTCAGGCAAACCGTCTATCGATTCAGTTCCATTTATAAAAGCTGGGTAAAAATGTTTTTATAAAAGTGTTAAAAATTTATAATTTTATATGATAATATATAATACAAATAATATTATTTATAATTTTAATAAAATATGTTTTTATAAATTTATATTTTGTGTTTTTAGTTAATTTTAAGTGTTTTAAGTTAATTTAATTAAATTTTAAATTATGTTAATAACTTTTCAATTTGGCAGACTCTGATTTTCTGATTTATTATACTTTCTGAGTCATACTAAATCTCTAAATAAATTCTCAGCATGTAAAACCAATGATCTTATTATAAATAATTCAATTTTTTACTCAGTAAAACCTATTACTTAGCATATAACTTAACTAATCCATGTTGTTGTTGTTGCTTTTTTTAAAAGTAATTATTATTTTATAGGTATTACACAGGACTAAGAAATTGGAATGTTACAATGTCTATTGTTTTTGGTGTTGATGGAAAAGGACTTAACCAAAGGGATGGAGTGTATACTGTTTTTTTAGATGGAGTGTATTTACTATCAAGTGCTTTGGTTACTTAAACAAATAAGAGTCAAATTTTCATTGGGTTTGATTTTTTTTTTTCATTATATTTATTATTTTATTTATCAGATTTTTGTTGATGAATAAAAAGAAACAAGATATATAAAAGATGATAAAAAGATATGATAAATAAATAAGATAAAGAGATTGGAGAGTTGAATAAAAAAATCGTGATTAAAAAAAGAGGTTAAGTAAAGAGAAATATGAAAGATGAATAAAAAAAGAAGTCAAAAAAAGCTTTACGAGCTTGATATTAAATAGTTTTATTACAGTGAGTCAAAAGACTCATTGTAATAGAACTATTAATTTAGAAAAATGCTGGATCAAAAAGAATGCTGGATTAAAAGGAATGCTGGATCTTCTTTGTGTCTCTGTTTTTATGACTAGGTAACTCATTCTGTTATTTCTTAATGAGGATACAGCTCTAAAACTCAGTTATATGGTCCTAAGACCCGCTGGTAGTCAGGTTTCTCGAATTTTTTAGTAGCTCTTAGAGAGGCTGATTCCATCGATAGCTGTAAAATATCAGATTACTAACAGTGCTATGTTGAGGATGAGAGTTATCTCTATTCATTCTTTTGGTGTGCATTTTCAAGGCCACATTTTGGGGCCCTTTTAGTGGTCAGTTTCTCCATATTCATCCTTAGGTGCTTCTAATCACAATTTGATCTCGCTAATATATTACTATATTTTACTTCACAACTATCTTAATGCTAGCTGTGACTCTTTCCATGATTTTTTTTCTTGTGCCCTTTGGTAGAGCTTTTTTGTCTTTCTGCTGACAAACATGCTTCTTATGTAACTTATGTTATGTTAAGTCAAACCTCACTCTTCTCCGTGGTTTTCTCAATTTGATGCTGTAATTTCCAATTGTAACCATTACTTCCATATCTATTGCCAAAACAATTCTCCAAAAACCAGGCTGTTTTTATTGCTAAAATATTTTTTTATTGCCTGTTTATTATTGCTAAAAATGTTAAATGGTAATTGTCTAATGACTCAGCCCGCTTTTCTCAAATCACAAATCTTGTATTTTATCTCAAAAGAGAGGCTCCAGAGGCTTCTGGAGACATTTTAACTGAGCCTATAATAAAGACAAATCTGTTGTTGCTGTTCTTTTTTGTGGTTCAGATTTTGTTACTTTACTTAATGACAAAGTTGAATTGTTTGCTAAGAACTTTTTATAAATCTAATCTCTTAGTTCCACTAATCACATCCTACCTGATATAGCCAACATACAGTTTGATTGATTGCTTGACATGCATATAACTCCAGCTTCTGCATCTAATGTGATTTTCTGCTTAGACCTCTACAGCTTGTAGTCCAGACAACATACCTGTTAAAGTTTTAAAAAAGTGTTCTCTGTAGCTGTTGTCTATACTTGTTGTCAAAACTATTTAACAAGTGCTTATTAAGTTCTAGTTTTCTAGCTTGGTGGTTATCGGCATCTGTTATTTTCAAAAATTCTCGAGAGCAATCTAACTACTGTCCCATTAAACTGCTGTTGTCTCACTATCATAAGCAAGATTTTTAAGTCTTTAATTAACAAACACTTAATCTCTCATCTTGAATCTAATAACTTACTTTATGATTGTCAATATGGTTTGCAATCATCATATCATAGGTGTAAGATTTTTTTAACTTAATCTTAATATATAGTTTTTTATAAAATTAAAGTTTGTTAAGCAATTATAAAACTATTTGTGTCCGCCTCTCCCCTCTTCCCCCCCCTCTCTTCCACCCCCCTAGTGTTTAAGATAGGGGGGAGGGAAAGTATATATAAATGTATATATGTATATATACATTTATATATACTTTTTTATATGTTTTTATAAAAACTTTTGTATTTAACCAAAAAAAGTTTTTATCTGTAATTATTTTTACTAATTTTGTAAATTCAAATAATTAAAAGAAATAAATTGAAGTAAATTTTTTTTTTTTTTTTTTTTTATAATTCAAGTGCTTTTTTTACCTCTGTAATAGTTTGGTTGCATCACTGAACTTTTACAACTTATACAAAAACTTTTACAACAAAGATGAAGTTTTCCAAATATCACCTAACAAAAAAGACGTCATTCGATTTCAATCATTTGACAAATAATATTGCGATATTTTATTTATATTATACGCTAATAGAAGCTTTCGAGTTATTCAAGGAAAAGCATTAACACATTAAAATTTGACTTTTGAGGAAACTTTTGCGACCTTTGTCCAGGCAATGTAAAATTTGTAACAAATTTTCTGCATAATGTTTGTGTTTGTAGTTTGCAAGAAATTGCGGTAATTGAAGTTGAATGGTCTGAAAACATTAGGTGTTTCCAAAAAAAGTGAACCACTATAGGCTCATTTTGGTCAAAACAAAATTTATATAATGATCTTAGCAGTCTGGAACCCAGTATTAAAAATCTCTTTGTAAAATTTTTGTCAACATTTTAAGCCTATTTTAGAATTTTTCTTGAATTTCTAGCAATCCCTGATAGACAAAAATTGAACTGCTGCCCAAAATTACTTGTTCTTATCTTTTTTTGAAATATGCACAAAAATTAAACAAAAAATTTTTAACTTAACATGAGTTTTAAAAAAAAAAAAAAAGAGAACCTATATAAATTGTTTTATGGGCTTTTTTTTGGGTCTTGATAAATAAATCAAAGCACAGTAATCAGGATTAACTTAAATTTTGATTTGCTGAACTTCTGGCTAAATATTACTTCATGGTTAAATTGATAAATAACTTAAATTTAATTTGCAAAGATTTAGTTTTACTTAAAGTAAGCTTGAAACTTTCACAAACAACCAAACTTGAAAAAAATTAATTCAGCATTTTTTTTTTTTTTTTGTAGAAAGGCTAAAAAAAATAAGAACCACACAAGATTATAACTTGGAGTGTAAGACCAGCATGCTCATAAACACTATGTATTCTATCTATTGTACTTTTTATAGCGCTAGCATGCAAGTGGTTTTTTTTATTTTGAGTAAGCCTTCTTTTATACTAAAATTTTCTCAAATTAACCAAAAAGTATCCTTTCTGATTCTGCTAAAATTTAACTTTAAACTTATACAGTCTAAATGTTAAATTTTTTGATATGTTTGTCACTAAGTAAATTATTATGTTCCTGCATTCTTTCCATTATCTTTCACTGTATCATTAGGTGATACTTCCATACTTGATCAATATATATATCAACCTGCAGCTAATGATCTTGATCCAGGTCCTGATGGTTATCTTAAATACAATTTTCTAAGTGGTAACAACGATGGCAAAAAAATTTCTTCTAATTTGACTCTTGAATGGTCATTGTCTTCCATTCCAATTAACCAGGTTAACAGGTTTCCATTAACTTCTGGCATACCTTAGGGTTCTATCCTTGGTCCTGTTTTATTTTTAATCTACATAAATGATCTTCCTGACAACCTTACATCTAAAGTAGCTCTTTTTGCTGATGACCCAACTTTATATTTCTGTCTTGACGAATTATCTTTTCTTTTTGATCGCTTAGAGGCAGCATGAATCTGATCTCACTTCTGTAACTTTTTTTCTGTAAACAATAATTACAATACTGTCGACATACCTACTAACCTTTCATGGAAACCATATGTTCAATGAATTGTGAAAAAGGTTGCTTATCTTTATCTTGCTTGCCATTTTGTCTCTCCTGATTCCTTTTTCCTGACTCCAGACTCCTGAAGTCTCTTATTTGTCATTGTATAAAATAGTGTTGTCATATTTTGGCTGGTTTTTCAAATAATGGTCTTCCTCTTTTAGACAAGGTCCAAAACACATTGTGAACTAACTGTTTATGGTTGCTTATAAAGCTATTTAGTAATTTGAGAAAATTTCCGCTGATTCCATAGTTTTTAAGTTTTTGTATAAGAATTTCATGATCTTATCAAAGGCTTTTGATAGGTCAATGAAAACTCCAAAAGTATATATTGTGGTTTCTCAAATGATTCTGCAATATTTCTAGTCAGATGAAGTATTGTGTGATAGTGGAAAATATTTTTTTTAAATCCATATTGACTGATATTTAATATTTATTTATAAATGATCATATATTGACTGGTATTTAATATTTATTTATAGATGATCATATATTGACTGGTATTTAATATTTATTTATAGATGATCATATATTGACTGGTATTTAATATTTATTTATAGATGATCATATATTTTGTTGTAAAGAATTCTTTCAAAATTTTTTGAATGAGTGTTATGGTAGATTTTTAGAGTTGTATATGGTGAGATGTGATAAGTTCAAAAAAATACGGACAACTACAAAAAATACGGACAATTATTGAAAAAATACGGACAACCACTACAAACATGGATTATATCTAATATAAACTAATTAATGAAAAAAATAGATTATGTTCAAAACTTTTTGCATCTTGTATATACAATCATGAATTATTAACAAAAATAAAATGTTTATCAAACTTTAGACTCAAATTTATATTGATATCCTTTAATATGTCTTTAAACTATTTAAATGTAAAACAGCGAGATGTTCAGAAAAAAGTCCTAATAAGTTTTAAGCATATGTGAACAGCAAACAAAAATATAAGGATGTAATTTGCACTGATACAAATAGTACAATTTGTGATAATTATTCAGTTATATTTAGTTAAGAAGTTTGTTAAACTTCTTTTTTAAATGTGTATTTACTCAAAATGATAAAGCCTTACAAAACTTTGATGCTGTTACTCAAGTTAACTATGAAATTGATATAAATAAAATAATTAAAATAATTAAAACAATTTTTGGTTATCAATGACGTGGAAAGATTTAAACATAGTTCCAATTTTTGAAATTAAAATAAGTTATTTTACCCAAAGTTTTTGGTTTTATTTTTTTAAAGGAATTCGAAAATAAATATTGTTTGTAGTTGCATAGAACTTTGTGTAAAAGCAGTAAATATTTTTTTAAATATTTTGACTTGGGAACTGTATATTCTGTTTTGCCAGCTCCCTTAAAAAATATTTTTGATTGGCCTGCACCTCTCAAAAGCTATATATGATTGGCT